TTTAGAGAACTCAATTTCATGCAGTGCAAATAGGAATGGAGTTTGGAAACACAAATCTAACTACATACTGGGGAGCAAAGTATAAACAAATGAGTGGATGTAATAAAGCATACGAGGTTCCAAATACCACATTAGTTAGAGAGAAACTCGGGGGAAAGAGCTAAAATTGCCTACTCGGGCTGGCGGCGTGGAGGGAAGGAGAGACCTGAGTGAAGTAAAAAACCTAGGCTTGGGCCCTGGCTGCATTGTCAGTGTACATCGTTGTCACAAAACGGAGGATGATTCTTCACAAGGGCTGAAAGTTCGCAAGAAGACATGGCCCTTTGGGGTGTGGTAGGCACGCAGCGAGTGGTGGTGTGAGTTAAAGAGACGCTGTCTACCAAAGTGGCAAATTACGTCATCTTTAGGTGTGAGGCCACACATGAACGTTCTGATCTGTAGGTTCGCTTTGATCTTCCTGCGGATGTTATGTCCGCACAGAAGACATAGAAGCACCTTGCCACAGAGCTGTTTGGTGCCCATGTTCTGCTTTGGCAAGTCACACCCACCTGCCAGAAGGATCTCCCTTGTCTCTGGTTTTTCTCTTGATTTATTTTCTACCTGGATAAATAACACTAATAACAATATTATTTTCCTGAAAAGTCACTTTATGAGTTTGAATCTTACTAAGAAGCATTCAAACCAAGAAACTATCATTTGGTTTCAACCCGAACCAACAGTGGTCTCTCAAGGAGCTGTTCTTTCCCTACGTCCAGAAAAAGAAAAGCTAATGCCTGTGCAGTACATTGTGGGAGGGTTATTTTTATTGAGGTGCCAGTGTAGTCGAACCTGTGTCCCAGGTGTGCATCATCATACATCCGCAGGCGCACAGGCCCGCTCAGAGTCACCACTACAGCCCACGCCACCCTTGGCAGGGGCAACCTTAACCCCTCCTCCAGCCACCCTGTCCCCTCGCCTCTGGTAACCAATGATTTAGCCTTCGCGTCTAAAAGATGTTTTTTCTTCATACACTTCACTCACTGTGTGTGTTGCGGTGTGAGTGTGCAGGTGGGGTTTGTCGTCCTCTCTGACCTTCACGAGCACAGTACCAGGGCGTTGTTGCAGATGGCAGGGTTTCTTCTCAGTCGCTGAGCGGACAGATCCCATCTTCCTTTTCCACTCATCTATCAGTAGGCCCTTAGGTCGTTGCCAGCTCTTGGCCATTGTAAACAATGCTGCAGTGAGCACGGTGCCTATGCCTCTGAGGAGTGTCTTGGCATCATTCCTTGGTGAACACCCGCACGGGGGAGGACTGGGCCACACGGAACTTCTACTTTTAATTTGGTGAGGAAATCCGCATTGCTGCCCATGACGACTCGGTGCAGTGTCTGATACTTGAAGAACAGTCCTGCAGGTGCTTCCTCCATTCCTGCAGGGCCAGATGGTGACTCGTACACTGCTTGGACACTGCTAGATCCGGGTCCTAGAACGACAGGGTCACAGGCCCAGAGCCAGTGCGCCGGACGATTAGTGGCCCATGGTGGCCAAGGCCACGTCCCGACTGCTAGCACCGTGCAGACTCACAGGTCAGCATGACTGTGCTGGGTCCCCTGCGCCTCCTGGGCTGCGAGATGCTTTACCTGTTTCACCATCTGACTCTCTCCTGGGCTTAGTTTTGTTTTGGTTTGCTTTGCTTTGTTTTCATGAAGTTGCTGATGCCATATTTCTTTAGGCATTGGATCTTGCTTTCTGTAAATTTTCAGCATTATCGTTCTCTAAACACCACCGCCATATGCAAATCTGTAGGTGTGGGATCCGTGTGGTTGCCTGTGCTTGTTTCCTTTCATGAAATATTTATGGAGCGGAGGTTGACACGTCCCTTGTCTGCCATATCCCATTTGGCACCCAGCAAGGTTAATCAAACATGGGTTCTGCCTTTAAGAAGCTTAATGTTGGCAATCAAAATGGGGGGATTTTAGTTTACCCTAAACACACAAAAATTCTGCATTTAAGAAAGTGTCCTACGTTTACAGCCAAGCTCAAAGGAATAAAAGTGGTTCAGGAACAGAGAATTCACAGCCAGAGAGTTTAAGATGGAGGCGGCACTCAGTGGCCCAAGGAGTGGGATGTCCATACATGCCTTCCAGGGGTGAGAGGCCAGAGTCAGTTAGGACGCAGCAAGCCTGGGCCCCGAGGTGGAGACCCCTGCACAGAGGTGGGCTCTGCAGAGGTTCCCCTGTCTGTGAACAAGGACAGAGGTCTCAGCAGCCAATGTGGCCGGGAAGCTGAAAGAAATGAGAAACCCACGGCGTCAAGTGTGCAGTCTACATTTAAACTGTGCAAGTCTTGCACAAAGCAGTTAAATTGAGAAATTAGAATAACACTGGTCCAGGACAAATGACATGCTTATACCTAATAGTTGTAAATGCTAAAATTCATGTAGCTTCCACAAGACACCCAGGAGCCAATGCCTGGGAGCACTGTCACTGAAGAGCAGAACATGCATGTGAAATGCATTCAGAAAAACTGAATTAAAAAGTGATCACCGGGCCCTCCCTGGTGGCGCAGTGGGTTAAAGCACAGCACTGAGAAGCTAAAGCCACTTCCACATGAGTTCGATCCCCGCCTGCCCCCGGAGGAGACCACATGGCGCGGCAGACCTCTCCTGACCCGCCCGCTGCTCCCCTCAGCAGTGTACGTCATTGATCTGCCTGTTCTGCTCCCCACTCTGTCTCTGGTGAAGTCTCTCACTGCCCCTGAGTCTCTGGCCTGTACCCCAGTTCTGTATGTACAAATAAATAAATCTTTAAAAAAAAAAAAAGTGATCACGGAAGCATGTTAAAAAGCTTTTGCAGCTATAATACAGATACTGTTTAGAGATGTATTGACCCTCAGGTAAGAAATTTGGGTGAACTCTAGATTTCTCTACAGGCAAGGTTCATGATTTAATAATTATTTGGAGAGTCAAAGCGAAATGGACGCCTTCTAAATCCAATAAAGAAGCCAAGAATGGTATTTTTTTAAGTTGGGTCAGTGCAATAAAAGCTAGGAAAGGAAGAGAAAGAGCAAAGTTCAAACGGTAGGGAAAAGATCCAACTATATCAGTAAATATGGTAAATGAAAAACAGATTAAACCGTGCTGTTAAAATACAGAGACAGATTTTTTTTTAATCCAGCTTTTCTCTGTTTATAAAAGACGTGTGAAATATTGTTATGTGGGAAGCTTGAAATTTAGGGACTGTAAAAAAGGGCAGAGCAGACAAGTTTTAAAGAGAGCAAAAGATAAAGGAGGGAGGAGGGAGAATGTTACTCAGACAAAATTTTAAGGCAAAAAATAATGTTGTGACTAAAGATGTTCCTTGGCAAAAGGCTTGTAAAAAAATACATCAGGAGACATCTCCTAAGAAAAACTCCATTTCTACCCACAAGAGATGGCCAGCCAGCAAATATTTGAAAAAGGTTCAACTCGCTGGGGATAATGAAAATGCAAATAAAAGCAACAGTGTCACTGTCCTCTCAACCCCCGGTGGCAAATCACCATAAACAGGATGACTGCGGTGTGGGCCTGAGGCCGAGCAGGACTACGCTCCTCGCAGCCGGGGGAAAGGGCAGCTGTGCGCAGTCCGTGACTCGGCAGTTCTGTCCCATGCTGTGTCGTAGGGAGATGCAGAGGACGCGTCATTGCAAAGCAGGAAAAAGGAAGAGACCCACGCGCCTGCCCGTGGTGGCGCAGGCAAACTGGCCTGTGTGAGCAAATGGAACTGGCAGCCCTGAGAGCGAAGTAACTGAGAGACCCCTGGAGGCCAAGGGACATGCCTCCGAGGGGCAAGGCTGAGGGAGAATGGGCTGCAGAAGATGCATGTCTAGTGCCCAATGTACGGGAAGCCCAGCAATCCTGCGTCTCGCAGCTACCAGCTTCCATGGAGTATTTTCAGATATGGGCATCTGAGAAGAAGGGGTCACGGGAGTAGGCTGTTCTCTCCTTAGATGAGGACGATGACTGGGAACAGGGAGGGCGGCGGGCGGCGGCCGGAGCCCTCACTTCGGCGTGATTGCAGTTAAAGATCCGAGGCGAGTCTGGCAACGATACAGCGTTTATTTACATGTGGCTTCTGGGTGGCACCGCAGGCTCCTTTCAGTCCCTGTATGTACGTTCCTAAGCTACTTCCTCAATGCCAGGTAGCACCAGCTCATTATGGGCGAGAGCAGAGGTAGCTGCCAGCAGCATCTAAGTGTCCACCATTGCATGGGCGCCCTTCACGCCACTTCAGGGCTGAGATGAGAGCGACTTCTGCCAGCTGCGGGGCCACAGTGTGTCTGCAAGTGTCAGGGCTCGATATGTCCTTCCCGTCTGTCACCCCAGCTACCATGAAGCAGGATCTACTACCTTGAGAAAAGAAAGTCTAAGTAACAAAGCGATGCTGTGCTTATTTCTCAGAGTAAGAAATACTGATTTCAGTTGCCACATAATGTCGACCTTCGGTTCTGTGGCAGGACAGGGTTGGCGGGTTGTGTGAACGTTAATCGCAGCCAACTGGCCACACGCTTCCTCCCTTTGTCAATGACATTCCTTTGGGCCCCTCACCCTTTAAACTGCTGGCTGGTTCCCCTTTGTCAGTGTGTTGCTATAGATCGTTTCCGTGTGGAATAGATAGGCCAGGCTTGTCCCTGACCCTTCCTGGCAAATGGTAAGTGTTCGGGAATGATCTCACTGTAGTGTGCACTCAGCCAGCCGCTATCACTCTGGACGTCGGGTGAAATAATGGCGTGCTGTGGGAAAGGCTGGTTTCCGTGCTTCTGACAGTCTTTCTGGGTGCTAGTCAACTGCACAGCCGAGGGTTCTAGAAGCAATTTGCCACGTCCCGTGAAAGGCATCAAACTCCTCTTTAAAGCACGGATCTGCTACAGGTTGACACCAAAAGGAAAATTGTGACTCAGATCTCAGATGAAGCTACCTTGAGCTGCCAGTGAGGATGTGATGATGAACTTCTCAGTCTTGTTTCTTTCTCGTCCTCTTGCAGAGAGAAGATGCATCAGTCTGCCATGTATGAGCTCTGCCAGGGGATGCACCAGATCAGCCTCCAGTTCGTCCGCCTGCAGCTCACCTTTGAGGAATACACCATCATGAAGGTTCTGCTGCTGCTCAGCACAAGTAAACCGATGACGCTTTTCTAAACTGTCCGGTCTCCTTCCCTGGGAGGGCGGGCTGTCTGTAGTTAGCTACAGTTGTGCACTACACAGCTGAGGTGCCGGGCGCACTGAGCCACTTGCCTCACCCTCCACCCCTCCATCCCTCCGAGCACACCCCGTGGGCTGTGTTCCTTGTTGTCGGCGTGCCATGGCTATTTTATCGATGTACTGGCTGTGTAGAGCGAGGATGGCCAGACCTGCTCTAAAGGGGCCCGAATGGAGGCACCTTATCTCACGCTCCTGTCCTTGGTGAGGCAGGACTGCAGGACTGGACTCTGGACTCCCTGGCCCAGGGAGCGGGGGTGAGCGCTGGAGGGGCCGGCTGGGGGGTGACCGTGGCAGGAGAGGGGCCACAGTCGGACTCAGGACTCCTGCAGAGGCGGCCAGCCTGCAGGCCTGGCCGGGCGGGCCTGCGCTCACAGCTGTGTTTTGTTTGGCTGGCTTGGGCTTTCTAGGTTGCTCTTGGCCTCACCTCTTGTTTGATGTTCGTGGGGCTGGCTCGCCCGGAGCCAGGCATGCTCTCCTCAGTTTGCCACAGGCCCCGCCACTCCCGACGGGGACCCGCAGCCCAACACCCTTGTCCGGTGTGACCGCCTCTCGGCTGCAGGGCCCTAGCGGAAGGTCTGCCTGCTCCCCGTATCCTCAGGGTCTCTGTGTTCCCATTGATCCTTGCCAGAGCCTAAATTTAGAAATACAGTCTTTAAATCCAGTGATGGGGACTTACAGGCAAGGTCATTAACCGTTACTGGCTCGCGGGCCGTTCAAGAAAGAAAAGAAACAGTCAGATGGATGATAGAATTTAAATGAAACATTTTTTTCCTCAAAATGCGTATGACACTAATTCTTTCTAAATTCTGACTACTCAATCTTAATTAGTGTCATCCTTTTACCTCCATTTAATCAGTGAGCCTCTAATCGATTCTGATCATATTTTGAAGCTTCCTGAATCAATTTATTAGCCTCCAAGTAGCTCAAGGCTTTCCGTTCTGATTTTTGTAGCAGTAGGAAAAGCGATATAAAAAGGCAGGGAATCGTAAGTAAAGAATGGTGTGACTCACTGAAAGTGCGGACTGTAGCAAGCGTGTTTTGCTAATCGATGGTAAAAGGCTCCTTATTTACAATGTCCAGTTGCATACACGCCGGCCACCCAGTCGCCGACGGTTTTCAGCACTGACACATCTCTGCTTACAGAGGAGAGCGGAGGGACCCCCCACCCCTCCATCTCTATGTTCTTCCTCAGCCCATAGATTTTGGATGATTTCCAGCAGCCCTGCATTTAATAACTAAATCAGAAAATCTGGGCACATCTCCAAAAGTTGAAGTTTTGCTTAAGTTCTCTTTATTTGTGGGTTTGTTTCGACTTCTTAAAAATCTGGCTGAGAAATTATTACAATATATGCAGTTACATCAGTATAATACAGGAACTTTTTGACACACGTTGTTCACAACCTTGAGAATTTTTGTTACATTTCGATAATCTCAAGAAATAGGAAGGTCTTTGGTTAGTCTCAGTAGGGGACCCGATTGCACTGACACTCCACGGGATTGTAGACAATTTTCTAAGGCATAGGATGACATCCACAAGTATCTATATTGAAATTAAAAGTCGGTGCTGTAACATTTTCTATTAAAAAGAATGTTCATCCACAACGAAGCATTTTACGTCAGCCTGTAACTTAAATGCTCAGATGCTTTCAGAAAGATTTAGGTTAACATTAAAATGTTGGTAGAAAGTGAATGTGCAGTTTTACTGTTAACACCCTGGTTACTGCCAGCCTTATATTTGATTTCCATACGTTTAAAGCAAAGTTTTAATTTTAAACAAAAAGAATTGTTAGATCCTGATGGTGTTTAACTCTTAATATTTGAAATCACATCTTGGCAGCTTCTGGGTTCTCTGCTCATGCTGAAAGGGATTTATCGCCCCAAGAAAGATGGACTGTGATGAAGCACAAGTGGCAAGTCTCACCCATTTAAACTCAAGTAGAAGATGATTAGCAGAATGCTTGCAGCTAATTTGCAAGCTGATCCTTTTCTACACAGGACAACAGGGTTTATTTGGAAACAGTTGGTATTCCTGTCTTCCCGGGTGGCACAGAAAACTTAGAAAATGTGCTTAGCCATTCCAAAGTGTTGATGAGCCGAGTAACTTATTATCTGTACCAGTTCTCATAAATTAGCAAATACATGTAATGAAGAAGTAAACGTAAGAACTGCCTCAGACTCAGAATGTTAATATCACAAGATGGATTCTCATTAGGTCTCCCATTTCTAAAAATAAAGTTCTAAGTGACATTAGTTTCCAAAGTTCAAGCATAAACATAGCTATTTATTGGCTGCAGTGAAGAGGAAAAGATTTTTAGAAGGGTTGTCTCTGGCGTAAGCTCGGCCCTGCAGTTTCCAGAAGGCAGGCACTGGTCCCCCTTCTCCACCGAGTTCCTTCATCTGTGTCCTGGGGGGAATCAACTCTTTGTACAAGTCATGGAAGGACTCAGTAATCCTGTAAATCCTGAACCCCAAAATATTCTGTGAGATTTTTAAAAATTGCTGTGTGAAATTTAACCACACCTGAAAGAAGAAACCACAACCCTTCATTTCTACATCAAAGAGTGAGATGAAGGTGTTAGATTCTGCTGGCAGGCAGAGGCCCCCCTTCATTAGCCTGGTGCACACACAAACCAGTGCTCAGCCCCACCGAGGCTGAGGGGGCAGTATCTGCAGCACCCCCAGGCTCATGTGACCCTAGGGCACAGCAAATCCAAGGGGTGCTTTGCAGGCCCGTTTTATTTCCTCAGTAGAGTGCCACTTTCCAACTCTGGTATCTGAACTTGAATATGAAGGTGTTGTCTTTTAATTCTAGTCCCAGTTTAGGGCTCTTACAGTTGTGCTAGAAATCAAAGTTTGGGTTCCCACCTCTGAGGTACTGACCAGATGGGATTCCTACAGCGCTGTGTGATGCTGCAGGGCCTCGTGGTTAGCAGGCAGCCTCTGGAATCAGACAGACCTAGGGTATCCCTCTGTCCTTGGGCAAGAGTATAAAGCTCCCTGTCTATGAAATGAGAACGATGCGATGTTGTGTCAGAACAGGCTCATCTGTGCAAAGAGTATGAGCAGGTGCTGGTTTGCCATTAGATGACTGGTGTTTCCACTCACCAGTGCAGTGAAGAGACTCAGTCTGAGCAACTCAACCTCAAAAGATTCTAGATACTTGAGCTGCTAAGAGGCTGACGCTGTTTTCCACCCTGGGAATTTACATGTGTGTGTTCCTTGAACACAGTTCCAAAGGACGGCCTCAAGTGCCAGACTGCATTTGAAGAGATGAGGACAAATTACATCAAAGAACTGAGGAAGATGGTGACCAAGTGTCCCAACAATTCTGGGCAGAGCTGGCAGAGGTTCTACCAACTGACCAAGCTTCTGGACTCCATGCATGACGTAAGTAGCACCCCTGGGTGCCTATTAAATCAACACTCACACACCACTGACCGAACAAAACAGAGCTGAAAAGGCATTCTCGGGGCTTTGAGAAGAATGGGGGGCGTTCTCCATTGGACGGCGACAAGAGGTAAGAACTGACTAGGAAGAAAATTTTCCTGCAGGTCACCTTTGAAACAGCTCTCATTGGCAGGCTGGGTGGGGCTCTTTTCCTTTCGTAGCTGGGTCAGAAATGCGCCCCAGCAAGGGGAAGGCCTCCAGATGTGCTACAGGTGGCAGGTCGAGTTTCACATTTCTGCTTGCAATTTAGGGGATGTTTGCTGACTGAAATGTTTGCTTTAGCATTGCATAAATAGTGTCCATCTTCAGCACTGGCTCATCTAATAACCCAATCTTTCAAAAACATTATTAGTGGTCCGGGGCCAGCTTGTGTCAGTCTTTGCCAGATTTGAATCCTATATTCATCGTTCTTCACGGGGTTCGCCTTTCTTGTCTTGGGTAAATCTTCGGAGAAAGTAATTTCGGAGCTTTTTTCTAATTTGCTCAGTTTTTGAGAGCACTGAGGGGGTTGTACTTTCTACCAAAGAGGGGTCTGTGTGACTCATGGTTGTCATTACAATGCTCCTCTCGATGCACTTTGCAAGCAGCCTGCAGGTCAGCTTCAAAATACACTGTGAGGTTTTGATACTTTCCGTGACAAAATGTGTTGCCCAAGTTCAACCCACTTGTAGGAGAAACTCTTTTGGGGATTTTTCTCTCTGTAAAGGAAAGTGTGGGCAGCTGGTGACCTGTCCTGCATAGTGGCAGCAGGGATGGGGCATTTCCTCCCCTGGAGGTTTGTCTGTGCAGTGGGATGGGCTGGGATGTGTCTCTGTGGCTTCCTAGCATCGCATGTGGCCGACCCCCATGCTCTTCAGCGTGACCTTGGCTTTCTCTGCACTTGTGTGAGATGGAAAGCTGACTTCATGTGAGCTGAGTGGGAGTTTGGCTAACTATCAGTGGCCTGAAGAGCATAATTTAGTGGAAAGTCTTAGGAATAGGAGATGACGGGGACCCACACTGCAGGCGCTGAGAGCGTGCACGTGAAGACATCTGCTGGTTTTGTCTTGTCCTGGACAGGGCTCCCACTGGGCTCTGTTGCTTCTCCTGATGGAGGAGTCTGCAGGCTGTGGTGAGCTGCCATCACAGTGCGCGACTGGGCCCGCACCTTCTGACGCAGAAGTAGTGCCTTTTTCTCTGGTTTTCAGGGTGTCCCTGCCCTAAGCAGGGCAGCAGGGTGGAGACGCTCTGAGGCCACCCCTGGGTCATGTATAAACCATCCTCCGAGTGCCTTTCAGGTTTTATACATGTATAACTGATACACAGTAATAGGAATAGACTTAACGTGTACATTTTGAGGACTTTGACACGCATCTACCGATACAATGACCATCACAACAAACATGTGCATCACCCCCGAAGTTTCCTTGTGTCCCCTTCACCTTTCCTGCTACCCCCTGTCCCTGGCTGCTTTCTCTGCCACTTCCTGACACCAGAGAGTGTTGTATCGACGCTGGCTTTTTGGACAAGTGGACCCGTGCAGAGGTTGCCCGTTTGCCTGGCGTCTCCTTCATTCTATTGAGATACCTCCACACCAGTGCATGCATTCGTAGCTACCCCCTGCCCGGTGCTGGGCAGAAACCATTACATGAGGGACCACATTCCAGCAGGCCAGACACCTGTGATGGGCACATGGGTTGGGTCCGGCTTGGGGCTACTGCAGGTGAGCTGCACGGGGCCTCTGCATGCAAGTTTCTTTAAGGACGCTGCTTGCTTTTTGTGGAGGAATGCCCGATTCCTGGGTAGGTGTGGTTTTATTTTCTACGACGCTGCCGGTGTCTTCTTTAGGGTTTATACAATCATATGCTTGCTTGAAAAGCATGAGAGTTTAGACAGATCCATCTCCGTGTGACCCTCAGTGTGGCTGGTCTTTTTAGATTTAACTGTTCTAATAACCCTGGTTTTCACTTGCTGTCCCCCTAGTGATTCATGACCTTTCATGAGCTTTTTTGCCACTCGGGTGTCATCTTTGGCAAAGAATCTCAACTCTCTTGCTCATTTTCTGAATTTGGAGTCTTTGGTTTTCTCCCATTGTTGGGTTTCAAGCTTTCCTCCTGTATCTAGATACAGATTCTGTATCAGGTACAGAAGTTGCAAGTAGTTCCCCCAGGCAGTGGCTTATATTTTCATTCCTGGCTTACATTTTCATTCCTCAACAGTGTCTTTTGAAGAACAGAGGTTTTCCAGTGTAACGAAACTCAGTCACTATCTTTTTCTTCTATGAACCTTGCCTTCCACATTGAATCTAAGAAAGTGTCATCTAAACCTATGCCACCAGCTTTCTCTTGTGTTGTCTTCTAGAAATCACTTTTCCTTGGAAAGGGAAAGTGCCTTGGAAAGCATTTGTGTTTTTTTTCCTGAGCACTTATGGTGTTTCTGTCTTACCCACCTTGGCTGGAAGGAGAACGTTTTGGGGGGAATCAGTGGAATCATTTTCACCTTAAAATCTTTATTTGCCACCATCAAAAATGTTTGATCTTAGCAGTTGCCTCACACACGCCTCTTGAATGCTCTATTTATATTCCTATTCCAGACAGAACATTGAAAAATGCATTGTAAGTCTAGAGGGACCTTTCTAGCATTCACGCTTACTCAGACTTGAGACTGCCTACAGCTTTTTCATTAGAGTAAATTAGTGAATCAACATTTGTAGACTCTTCTTCCAGGAAACAGAGCTCCACCGCGCCTGTTTGGAACCTGGCTTTGGTCACCTTGTGAGATGAGAGCATTTGTTCCTAAGGTCCCTGGAAATAACCTTGTGGGTGCATGTCAACATTCTCCTTATGTGGTGTGCCCAGTAGGGTGCATGCCGGCGTTGTCCTTAAATGTTGTGCCCAGTACACCTATGTGCAGGACACGTGTGCACTGTCATTGTACAGAGGGGACCTCCCCACGCCACACACGTGTGTCTCGGCACGAGAGTGCCAAGGTGAGTCAGAGGAACATTCTCTGATAGAATAGTTCAGTATTTGGCCAGCACCTCAAATGAGTCATCAGCCTCTGAACATTAATCTTGCCCCCAAAGTATATTTCAAGAAAGCAGCTGTGGCTGGGATCCTCGACATGGATGCATTTGTGCATGTTCACATATATTGTGTGTAAGGCGTCCGGACCCATCCCGGAGAGACTCGACACTCGGTCACGTGATAGCGTTGACTGGGGCGGCTGTGGTCTAGAGTGAAGACGCACATTTCTAATGAATTTATTGGCAAGTTCTGTGCATCCGTAGAGATTGAGGACTATTTACATATGATCAGTGTGCAGAACAGTGAGTAAACACTGTGGTGACACGAATAGCACTTCTTAAAGGCAAGATTTGCCCTTTGTCCTACTCATTTCTTTCAAGTCATGCTACGGTCATGAACTTTATTTCAGAATATACGCTAGGCACAGCCGAGTCTCACGCCCCGCAGCACTGGCCAAGCTGCAGAGGCTACAAATGTGACCCAGACCACCCTAAAGTAGCTCAGATTCCGGGGAGGTGGCTGGTGTGTAATGCAAGGTGACAGGTGCTGAACGGCTCACCTGGACAAGGGGACAGTTGAGGGCACACGTGTGCCCCTCTTTTCCTCCCTCCCTTCCTTCATCCACGTCCACAAGCCTCTGTGTTCCAGAACGCCTCTCCTCAGGCCCCCGTTTGTCTGCTGCAGGAGAGCACTCATCTCTGTGATGCTCCTGTGCCTCGGCATGCCAGCCTGGGCAGGAGGGGGGACCTGGAGCTCTCGGCCTGCCTGGGCACCCAGCTTTATTCAGCCCTGCAGGGCAGTGTGCCGAGACCCCAGATGAGGGGCTGCACGCCACGATCTCACTGACAGAGCCAGTCAGGGCAGGAGGGGCCCGGGGTCCTAGTGTGGGGTGTCAGGAAGTCTTGACTGAAAGGAAGAGGGCACAGAGGCCGGGAGCAATCAGTCTGTAGGCAGCAGATGGTGGCTGGACTCCTGACACCACCCTTGTGATGCAGGGATTTCAGAGGGTGGGTCTTCTCCTTCGAGATCCATAAACTGGCATCCAGGAGCAGAAAGGCAGCTGCAGCACTAGTTCTCCAGACTCCTTGGGCTCTTCTCTGGCATCATCTGGAAGAGCTTCCGAGAGGGGCAGGGGTACTTCGTGAAGGGGGACCAGCGAAGCAGGTGTCGTTAACTCGCCCCCCATGTCTGCACGGCCCAGCACAAGGTGCTGACTCTGCCGGCGCTGCATGGAAGCTCTTGTCTGTGCAGGCGACCGGGAAACCAGGGTCAGAGCCTGCCTGGGTCCTGGGCCAGCACTGGCCTGTCACTCAGCTGGCCTCTGTGGCCAGGGCTCCTCCCAGGCCCCTGCCTTACTTTTGGCCTGGTTGCTGAGCTAGGAAACAGCTCTTCTCCAGCGGGGCTCTGGGCCAAGGGCTCCCCTTGGGGGTGGGTGGTGAGGAGCAGGACCCTTGCCAGGCAGCCGACACTGCCCTGCAGTCGAGGACTCCAGTCCCTTGGCACAGTCACCTTAAGGTGAGGTGGCTCAGGCAGCCGAGACGGCGATGCACCATCTTGAGAGTCTCGTGGCTCATTTCGTTAGTGGCAATAGCATTTTCCACCCTGACAGTGTGGCTGCTCCAGCTGCCCTTCCACCCTGCCCCCGGGTCCCGCTGGGTACCCAGCCTCGATGTCCTCATCTGTAAAATGGGAACATTGCCCTTTATTGGGCATTTTGAGACATGAACGAAGCGACACCAGCACTGAGCCTGTACCACATTCCAAGCTCTGAGTAGGAATGGGGCCACAGGTTCGCCTTTCTCCAGACTTGTCCAAGGCCCCCAGAGTCTCCCGAGAGCCTCCATCAGCAGCTTTAGCTACTTGGAGCACAGATCTGCCCAACAGGTGCACAGCGGGCATGTTCCAATGCTGAGGGTGTTTGCCACAGGACACCGG